TCATTTCATTTAATGTTTTTGTGTTTTATATGCTGTTTTATTTGATATAAATTTTAATTTAATTTAAATTACAATTATTTTTATTTTAATTCGATTTGATGTTTAGTTTGATTTAGTGCTTCATTTTATTTTACGTTACATAATGTTGTTGTGTTGTTAGGTGCTGTCGAGTCGGTTCTGACTCATAATGACCCTGTGTACAAAATAAGGAAACACTGCCCAGTCCTGCACCATCCTCGTGATCATTGTTATCGTTGTAGCCACTGTGTCAATCTATCTCATTGAGGGTCTTCTTTCACTGACCCTCTACTTTATCAAGCATGATGTCCTTCTCCGGGGACTGATCCCTCCTGATAACATGTCCAAAGTATGTGAGACAGAGTCTCGCCATCCTTGCGTCTAAGGAGCGTTCTGGTGGTACTTCTTCCCAGACAGATCTGTCTGTTCTTCTGGCCGCCCATGGGGTATTCGATGTTCTCCACCAACACCGTCATTTAAAAGCATCCCTTCTTCAGTCTTCTTATCCCTTGTCCAGTGTTTGCATGTATCTGAGGCGATTGAAAACACCATGGCTTGGGTCCGAGGCACCTTAGTCCTTGAAGTGACATCTCTGCTTTTTAACATTATAAGGAGGTTTTTTGCAGCAGATTTGCCCAATGCAGTGCATCATTTGATTTTCTGACTGCTGCTCCCATGGGTGTTGATTGTGGATTCAACTAAAATGAAATCCTTGACAACTTCAGTCTTTGTTTATCATGATGTTGCTTATTGGTCCAGTTGTGAACATTTCTGTTTTCTTTATGTTGAGGTGTAATCCATACTGAAGCCTGTGGTGTCTGATCAGCATCAGTAAGTGCTTCAGGTCCTCTTCACTTTCAGCAAGCAAGGTTGTGTCATCTGCATATCACAGGTTGTTAATGACTCTTCCTCCAATCCTGATGTCACGTTCTTCTTCATACAGTCTAGCTTCTCAGATTATTTGCTCAGCATAGAGATTGAATAAGCGTGGTGAAAGGATCCAACCCTGACAACACCTTTCCTGACTTTAAACCACACACTGTCCCCTTGTTCTGTTCGAATAACTGCCTCTTGATCTATGTACAGGTTCCTCATGAGCACAGTTAAGTGTTGTGCAGTCTGAAATTGATCAAACATGCAGTCAGGATGCATTGATAATTACTGGCGATTGGAATGAGAAAGTTGGAAACAAAGAAGAAGGATCAGTAGTTTGAAAATACGGCCTTGGCAATAGAAAGGACACCGGAGATTGCATGACAGAATTTTGCAAGACCAACGACTAATTCATTGCAAATGCCTTTTCTCTACAACATAAATGGCAACTATACATGTGGACCTCACCGGATGGAATACACAGCAATCAGGTCAACTCTATCTGTGGAAAGAGATGATGGAAAAGTTCAGTATCATCAGTCAGAGCAAGGCCAGGGGCCGACTGCAGAACAGACCATCAATTGCTCATATGCAAGTTCAAGTTGAAGCTAAAAAAAATTAGAACAAGTCCACGAGAGTCAAAAGTACGACCTTGAGTATATCTCACCTGAATTTAGAGACCATCTCAAGAACAGACGGAACACTGGATGTAGTTGTGGAATGACATCAAGGACATCCTACGTGAAGAAAGCAAGAGGTCGTTGAAAAGACAGGAAAGAGAGAAAAGACCAAAATCGATGTCAGAAGAGACTCTGAAACTTGCTCTTGAACATCAGGTAGCTAAAGCAAATGGAAGAAATAATGAAGTAAAAGAGCTGAACAGAAGATTTCAAAGGGTGGCTCGAGAAGACAAAGTATTATAATGACATGTGCAAAGACCTGGAGTTAGAAAACTTTATATAATATTTTATT